AGCTGGATCTATTTTATCCGATCCATCCTCTCCCTTCTTCGCTGCAGCTGGATCTATTTTATCCGATCCATCCTCTCCCTTCTTCGCTGTAGCTGGATCTATTTTATCCGATCCATCAAGTGTTACTCCATTTCCCTGCTTCCCTGCAGTATTTGGGTCTTGACTGCCCAAAGTACCCTCTGGAACAGCATTTCCTGTTGCCTCTCTCTTGACATTTGGAGCCCCTGTGAAAAGAAAAAGCAGAAATTAAATACAAACTGTTACAGAAACAAACCACATGACAACTGCTGGTTTATTGCTGAATGCCCTTCCAAATTGATTTCTTGCAAAAAAATTTCTGACAATTTCTTACAGTTTAAAGAATGTTAACTTAATCTGTTCCTCCATATTCATAAACTCCTAAAATTACCTATCATTGTGACATTTAACAAAACAGTTTCAATCCACCTCTTGGGCTGGAGGTGGGCACCAAAAAAATTCAGCTCGTAGAAAATTAGTTTTAGTAATTATAACATATTCCAAATAAAAGTAGATGAAGTACGTTAATACAAAAGTAACATTTTTGCTAGAGATAAAGATGAATCTCCTGTCTCATGTCTCCCTGTGGTGCCCCCTTTCCAGTGGTTTGTTACATTATGCCTCAAAATCAAGTTTGGCCAAAACCTAGCTTCTTCCTCTGAGCATCATCTGAGTGCTCAGAGAGCTTTGGCTGTACGTTCACATACAGCGTACAGAGTTAGGAAGACATCTTATGTTTGACACAAATGTGCCAGAACACTATTGAATGAGACTGTGTGAGATTTAAATGCACACTCCTCAAGTTATTGTTCATTCATAGAAATATATGTGCTCAGGTCAGTCTCACTGCATGCAGACTGCTCACTGCAGCACTCAAATAATGCTACAGACAAGGAAAGAAACGGGAAGAATCTCGGGAATCACTTTACCATATATAGACAAAGAAATGCAGCGACACATCGTTTTACATGAACTACTGAAGTGATACAAAACCGCTTTGAACAAATGAACATGAGAAATTATACAAAAGCAGCAAAGACATGAGAAATGAATCCATGTTCAGCCTGTTGCATCTGTCCTGCTTCAAAAAAAAAGACTTACTTTGAACAGCGGTGTTATAGTCTGTTAATCTAAAATAATATGCAACTTGAGGTTGTGAAGATTTCTGTTGCTTTGGGGAATTTCTCACATCATCAGTATTAACATTTGCACAACAGCTAGTGCATTTCTTAGTTTGTACAAACTAACTTGCCAAAGTAAGAGACTTGTTCAGAATATTGTACATTACTCAAAAGCAAGTGTTCGTGTGTCATTCTTCTTCTACGGGCGAAAATGAAGTCGGCGGCTACTTACCGTAGTTGCTAGACCTGTTGTGGCTCAATATTGGTCCATATATAAGACTCACCGGATTATAAGACACACCAACGACTTTTGAGGAAATTGAAGGTTTTTAGGTGCGCCTTATAGTGCGGAAAATACGGTAAATGTTCCAATTTTATGTTTATGTACAAGTTAGTGGCTTTGTTATGGTTCATTATGACATTTCACTTCAGTTTTCTAATGCAAGGAAGCCAGATCTTGGTGACATTACCTGAAAATGCTCAACACATCACTACACACCATTTGAAATCTACAGTTACTAACATAATTGATGTAAATGAATACCAGACACTGATTACTGTGTTTCATATTTTTTACTGCATATTCCATTTACAGTCCTAATTTGCTCACTGCATTATTCAAAAGCAAAGTACTAATGTATACAGAAAAACAAATAATTTGGTTTAGGTTACCCAAATGGTTAGCAACAGCAATGGGTGTGATCTTAATCTCTTAATCAATGAGATGGTCAAAACCAAAATCAACCACAACCTAAAAGTTAATTACAGATTTAGGTACAAAATTAGCTCAAGTACATTCTTAAGTTTTTAAGGGAAAAAAAAACAACAGTGTACAGAACACATAAAAATTAAACAAAAATGGCCACAACATAGTGTCCTCTATTTTTAATCACACTTAAACATTTTGGATCATTAAACTTACATAATATCAGACAGAGATAAACTTGCTAATTATAAAACATAGATTTTAAATGGAAATTATATTAATCTAGTAAAAAAGCTACCTAAACAACCTGGCCCTGTATGAAAGAAGTACCTACTCCCCTTGTTAAACCATCAATTAATCAAAATACCACAAAACTTAATGAGCCTAAGCCCAACTGTCTGACCTGTACAATAAAAAAAGCATAAAAATACCACAACTAGTAGCAAAAAGAACAAAAAAAGTTTGATATAAAAAGTTTAAAAGACTGATTAGACAAAAGTAGAAAACTATTGAAGGTGTGTATTCCGCTACATCTGGTGTGAAACAGCGTTTCAGGAAAGGACAATTCTAC